GATACATAAATCGTAAATTTAAGGAAAATAAATTCTAGAGCCTTTTCTGTACCTGGTGCATCTCTCTCATTCATTAAATTTAGTTGTAAATGATGCTACCAAAGTAACAGTTAATTATTTAACATTATACAAGAATTGTACACGTTTTTTCTACATCCCCTTAAAGATGGGATGTACGAAATCGTAATATCACTGGTTTAACATCGAAATCTGTGAGTAATATAAAATCAGAGAGCGGAATAAATATATCAAATATTTTAATGGATTTTTTAAACTCCTGTCAACTATACAGAACTATCATAAAAACATACTAGTAAATTCTTATCGGTTGGGTTAAGTTATAAATCTACTCGTTATTCACGTAATCGAAATATCTAGTGGGCAGGCGGCTAACAGCCCAGAACCGGTCCTTGATAGAATTGGAATCGTTATATGTGTGCAGCTACCACCCAAGGTCGTAGGCTTCCACCGGCTAAACCAGGTGAGGTTGGTGCTCCGTAAAGCGCATGCGCAAATCTGGCTTTTTGGAATCTGACAATACAGAGATTCCACTCCGCCACTAATATTCGAATATACAAAAGCAATTTTTTTTTTCACATGTAGTATAGAAATTCGTAATAAGATACATAAAGCCGTTATAATAAAATATTGTGCGATTATTTTCATATAATTAAAATTAATATGTATTTATTTTTAGAAAATACGAGGGAAACGGCGCTTCCATCGCTTCTAATGACGGCACGCCACTGAAATGAACTAATATGAATGTATAACAATTAAATTTAATATTTAGACAAATGAAAGCTATGAAATGTTTAATTTGTTTAAAAAATAATTAAATTTTATTAAAATTTGAAAGTAATTTATTTAAAAAATAAATTTTTAAAATGAGCATAAAGTGCAAAATTAAAAATAATTTTATATTTGCAAACTTTACTTTCAAAATTTTATTATTTTGAGATCCTTGTTTTTATCTTCAGTTAAATGTTTTGGGATTTTTCAACTATTGGCTTTTACAAATATCTGATTTTCAAAAAATATTATGTATTTTAACAGTTTAAGTAAGATTTTTATTCTTTTCTTCTAAAAGAATTTCTGCAAATTTAATACTTTAAAAACTTTTATTTGATAAAATTAAATTCATTAATTTATTTTGAAATTGAAAAATTGTGACAACTAAGGATGTTTGCATTGAATTGAATAATTTTATTATTTGTTATGAGGTACAGAAATTACAGAAATGATATTATTGGATTATTTAATTTATTAAAGTATACTACTAGATATATACACTGTCAGATAGCATTAAAAACCTGTTTTAAAACACAAGTATTTTTAATTAATGATACACAGTAATCATCATCAGGCTAACAAATTAGAATGTAATTTCAGTATGTGTAATTGACTTATAAAGTTCTCAAAATTTAAATATTCCAAACATTTAGATTTTGAAATGAAATTTGAGGCTCATGAGAAAAAACAATTTGAAATAAAACACAAACAAAAATAAAAGACTGAATGGAACTTTCAATTTTTATGGTATGAGTTTGTGGTGTGTTATAATATGGGGCAACTAGTATAGTGTTGTGTTGTGGTCAAAAAGTTAGTGCGATCCACAAATTAAGAAGCTCAAGATTGTATATAACTGGGAAAAATGCATGATACATTGGTGCCATGGCCAGATTGCTGGCAAGTCCTTAAGCATAGCATCAGTAGGATGTTGCAAAAAGTAGATGTGCCACAGTGCTGACCAGAAAGGTCATGTATTCCAATTTCAAATCTTTGTGGACTCAACCATCCTCCTCAGGGGTTGTTCCAATTGAAGGGTATTATTTATTGCACCTTATGAAAAAGCTTGAGCTTCCTGACTTGTGGACTGTATTTTTTAAATTTTTCAACCCCAACACAACACTACACTAATTGCTTCATGTTATAACACATCACAAACTTATGCCATAAAATTATAATTGCCTTACAGTCCATATTTCTAATTTATTTTTAATTGTCTACTTGGACATTACTCGTTAATAGGATTTTACACTGGTGTTTAAAAACTGACACAATAATGAGAATTAGTTCAGAAAAAACAAATTTTCTTTAATAATTTTATAACAGGTGATTTAATAAAGAACATTTGTTTTTTCTGAACTAACTCTCATTATTGTGTCAATTTTTAAACACCAGTGTAAAATCCTATTAATGAGTAATGTCCAAGTAGACAATTAAAAATAAATCATGCCATAAAAATTGAAAGTTTCATTGAGCCTTTTGTTTTGTTTATGTTTTATTTCAAATTCTGTTTTTTGTCATACTCATGAGCCTTAAATTTCATTGCAAAATTTAAATGTTTGGAATATTTAAATTTTGAGAATATCTTAGGCCTACTGAACATACTGAGATTATATTCTAATTTGTTAATGTAATAATGTCATTTTTGTAATTTTTGTATCTCATAACAAATACATGGCCACCAGATTCACCACACATGTATCACTTTTATGCTTTGCAGTAAGTTCCTTTTTCATGTCATTCATCAATATTACAACTTTCCTCTTAGACTTCATTGCTTCCATACACTTCTTAGAGGCCATGGTTAAT